TAGACAATTAATAACTTCCTAAACACAGTCATGTCATTTCACTAAATAGAAACATGCATTGAAATTGCAGCTAAGTGTAAATTTGTCCTGTGCATTAATGCAATGGGTATACAAAACAAATTAACTGCATGTGAACCCTAACTTTTCAAAAATGCTCAAGATTTCCTTGATAGCGTCATGGTACATTGTGTAAAGGAACACAATGTACCAAAATTTTTAACCTGATAAGCTTATCAACTCTATTCAAGTGAACAGATAGGAAGACAAAACACATCCATTGTGTATAACCTGTCACTCAAAGTTGGCTGCATTCATATTCCTCATGCAAAATACAGTGTTCTTTGTGATATCTCTAAAGTAGATCAGTGGTGACTGTACATGAGTTATCATACATTTTGTGCATATGTTGCACATGTCCATGTGTGCATTCACATGTGTGTGTACGTGTGTGGGGGAGGACATGCATGCATGCGTGTGAGCATATAGAGGCCTGATGTTGACATTGTGCATCTTCCTCAATCACGTTATACTTTATTTACTGAGGCACTGTCTCTCAATGAATCCAGAGGTCACGGACCAGAGGATCCCTGTCTCTTAGTCCAGAATGTTGGGATTACAGGTGGCCACAATGCTTGCCTGGCTTTTTTATAGGTTCTAAAGATCCAAACTATGTTTTTCATATTTCTTTAAAAATAATTTAGTTATTTTTAGGCAGGCAGGGTGGCGCACACCTTTAATCCCAGCACTCAGGAGGCAGAGGCAGGCAGATCTCTGTGAGTTTGAGGCCAGCTTGGGCTACAGAGTGAGTTCCAAGAAAGGCACCAAAGCTACACAGAGAAACCCTGTCTCAAAAAATATATATATAATAATAATAATAATAATAATAATAATAATAATAATTTACTTATTTTTATTTTACATGCATTGGTGTTTTGCCTGCATGTATGTCTGTGTGAGGGTGTCCAATCTTGGAGTTACAAGCTGCCATGTGGGTGCTGGGAATTGAACCCCAGTCCTCTGGAAGGACAGTATTCTTAATCATTGAGTCATCTCTCCATCCCCCAGTTTTCATACTTTCATGGCAAGTACTTTATTCACTAAGCCAGTAGTTCTCAACCTGTGAGCTGCAACCCCCCCTGGGGTCACATATTAGATATCCTGCATATCAGATATTTACATTACAATTCATAATAGTAGCAAAGTTATAGTTATAAAGTAGCAATGAAATAATTTTATGGTTGGGGGGGTCACCACACATGAGGAATTGTATTAAAGGGTCACAGCATTGGGAAGGTTGAGAATCACTAAGCCATTTCCAGCCCAAGTTAGCACATACTTGGACTAAAATACAGATAACCAATATTTATTATTCAAAGAGATTCATCACTAGAAAACAGTCCTTCAAGATTCCTCAGAAAAGGCCCTTGTTTTCTCAATCAGTTATTAGAACTTTTATTTTGTCTGTCTATCCCAACTCTATACTTAACACCTTGGAAATGGCTGCTGTATAAAACTAGCTTTGTTGCTCCTTGGGAAGGATGACGCAGAGAATATATCAAGAACATTGTGTTTAAATCAGTATCATTCTTCCCAGCTCTGAATTGATAGTAAATTCCTCTATCTGATAAGAGCCTCTTATCCAAAATACAAAAATACTTAGAACTCAACAACAAAAGAGAAAAACATTTTAAAGGTGGAAAAGAAGTGAGTAGATATTTGTCCAAAAAAAGATACGAAGTGGTCAAGAGACTCATGAAAGCATCTAGGATCCACTAAGTGCTACCCAAACACAAAACACAACCACAGTGGCACACTACTTCATGCTTGTGAGGATGGCAACAAGTTTTTCATGGAAAAATAAGTGTTCATGGGGATGTTGGGAAACTGGACCCATATATCACCGACGGGGCCATGAAAGGACACAGCCAGCCACTGTGGAAATTCCTCAGTGACTTAAATATAGAGTCCCCGTGGGACCCAGCAATTATACCCTGAAGTACACACTCAGAAGAATGGAAAACGGTGTCCAAGCCACTAACAATGTTACGGTAGCCCAAAGGTGGACAGACCATCCTGCTGCTTGCAGACCTCCATTGCTGACCCTACTCAAAAGACATCACCTTTCTATCTTCCTCCTCTCCGTTTCTTTTGTCCTGGCATTATAATACAAACGTATTATATATATATATATATATAAATTCATATCATATATAAAAAATTTCAAAAGGTTAGTCTTCAATGTTAGGATTAAAGCAGTTGGCAACACTAGGAATGAAAGATAAAAGGCCTTGTAACTGAGTATGAGACAGCCAAAACCAGACAAGAGTAAGCACAGGTCTCTGGGGAACTGCTCTGGATGGCTCCCATGAACTCCTCAACATCCATTAATAAGTGAATGGATACACAAAATATGGTCTTATCTATAAAATGCCATGGAATGTTCTTTTCCATAATTTTTGAAAACCAGTTATGGAATATTAGCTAGCTATTAAAAGAAATCATGTGCATTGTGTAATATGGGTGAGCCTGGTAAACATTATGCCATGTAAAAAGAAGGACCAGTACAGCCAGGTAGGTGGTGGTAGCGCCCATCTTTAATCCTAGCCCTCCACAGAGGCAGTCAGAGCTCTGAGGTCGAGGCCAGCCTGGTCTACAGAGGGAGTTCCAGGACAGCCAGGGCTACATGGAGAAACCTTATCTAGAAAAACAACCAACTAACCAAACAAACAAACAAAGATCAATCATGAAAGATTATATATTATATAATTCCAGTTATAAGAAAGGAGCCAAACAAGCAAATCTACAGATGTCGGAAGACCAGTGGTTGCTTAGGGCTGGAGTAATAGGGTCCTATCATCACTGGGGTGCTAAATAAAGGCGAGGCATTTTCTCCTTCTGATGAAAATATTCTTAAAGTGGTTGTGGTGATAACTATATCTAAGGAATACACTGAAAACTGTTAACAATATTAAAAACCTTTAAATGCATCAGTTCTACAGCTCGTGAAGTGCATCTCAGCAAATGTCAAAAACCGAAGTGGACATCATGTGGAATCATCCTGCTGAACACTTGCTGCATTTTGCTGACTTTTGCAAATAAGAATTCCCAATGGCCAGCGTGTTAGCCATTCTACCCCTACCTCTAATAAACAAAACGATGTAGGTCACTGTTGGCTAGGGATAGGTTTCTATAACATGATAAATATGAGTAAGACAAAGTTCATTTGTGGTCACTGCTTCAAAAAAAAATGAAAAGAACTGAGCAACAACTAATAATTCTAAGGGCTGCAACTTATCAAATGAGGTGCCTTTCCACTGCCCATCACCTGACCGCATCAGTACAGCTGCAGGGCCAACTATTTCTTCTTCAGCACCCCTCCATTGGGCAACAGACACGGTTTCTCTCCTAGAATAAAAAAAAGCTTGACTATTTTATTTCTAGCCTTTCTCCAACAAAACCAACTCGTGTCTTAAGCCTAGATGGATGTCAGGGAATGTGGATAAAGAGTGTATCTAGAGGATCCACATTTGTGCGTGTTTTTAAACAATTCAGACTGAGACTAGCCTCCATTAAAAACAGTTAACCAGTCAGAAGGCACCCCCACCCCCAATCCACACACTGTGTTTACAGAAGAGGCTGCCACAGTTGGGTGTCTTTTTCTGTCTTTCTTCTAATACAGTGCTGCTGTGTCCCCAACCCACCCTCCGAGATGACTGGGCGGCTATAAACAAGAGTCTCATTTTTCCATGTCAACAATTTCTATTGATAACCTCATATTTTATGCATTCCTTCCCAGCTGACTGTGTGCGGCCTCCAGTATGGCATTTAAGCCACGTGTGATACGTAGAAGAAAGATAGAATTGGGTTTTTAAGGCTTAGTGAAACTGTTTCTGTAACTGATCTGGACCTCTATTTTCACATTTCCCTTTAAATTTATTTAAAGTTAGAGAATCTCAAAATTCAGTAAAATCACATCTTTTTTTTTTTTTCCATTTTCTGACTCTAAATTCCCAGGCTCGTGAATATAATACATGTAGAAATCGGCAATTCTGAGAAAAAGCACTATGTCTCCATTTAAAATGCTATAAATTAGAAATGGGAAGGACAGTCTACCAACTGTAGATCAATCCAGCAAATTTAGCTCTCATAAAGGCTAAATCACATCTCCGAGGCTTGATGATAAATCTTTAGCGTCTGCCAGTTGTACAAGATCAGTAGTGAACCATCTGGTCCATTTTGTTTATATCAATCTAAATAATGTGTGTCCAAGTTTTTGATATTTCCACAGCTCAGAAGTGATAAGGCTACTGCCAAGCAGGCTGCATCATAACCTGATTTTGGGCCAGGGTCGGGGAGGGGGGGTTCGTTTTGTTTTCTATAGCAAATCAAAGTTTGAATGCAGAAAGAAGGTGAGGGCAGGGGACGAGCTGGGAGCAGTGGCCCACGCCTTTAATCCCAGCACTCCAGAGGCCGAGGCAGGCGGATCTCTGTGTTGAGGGCCAACCTGGCCTACCTAGTGAGTTCTAGGACAGCCAGAGCTACAAAGTGAGGCCCCAGAAAGAATTTTAGGTTGCTAAGTTCACACAATGGTAAAAGGCATTTGCTGCACCAGGCTACAGATGTGAGTTCAGTCCTGGGATCCATATGAAGGCAGGACTGACTCAGTCTAGAGAGTTGTCTTCTGATCTCTATGCATGCGCTGTGGCATCTGCACACACACACACACACACACACACACACACACACACACTGTCTAGATAGAGAGACAGACAGACAGACAAATAGAGTGTGCATATGTATGTACATATGTATGTTTGCATGTATGAATCATATATATAATTATATACATGTAATTATACATGTATACGTAATTGTTAAAAACATTTTCCACTGGATTGGAAACCCTATGGGCTCCTACCCTTAAGTACAGCGTTAGCCATGCTTTACCCCACTGCTTCATTTTCCTCTCCCAGCTTATTTCTTCTTTTTGAATGTTGCAGCAGGAAGTTCACTTTAGAAGAATACAGTCTGCCCTTCCCCAAACTGGCTGGAAGAAGGAACCCTTTGACCCTAGCTCCTTGCTGTACCCTGTCTCGGGTCTCTTCCCTCCCCACACTCTGCTTCCTGGAGGACCCACTTTGGCCCTGCTCCGTGTCTCTCATAATCTCGAGAAGTGTAAAGCCAGGTAAGGCTGCGGCTGCTAGCTGCTCCCCCGACCCCCACCTCCCACTCCTGAAACAATGGGCCGTAAGCCGTAAAGCAAATTGCATTTATATCACTTGAAATTAAAAAAAAAAAAAAAGAAAGAAACCATGGTTATGACCTTGAAACATCGCTATAAATCAGTTCCCTTCCCACCTCCTCATTCTCTCAAATGCCTTCAACGGCTTCTGAAAGCAATGGTTGACTACAGAACAATGGTTTTCAGGCCGCAGCCCTGGCAAGATCACCTGAGATCTTGCTTTGGTGCAGCCTGCTAGGCCCAGGCTCAGGCACATTCAGAAAGTCTGGAAGGAAATTCAGATTTCCTGAGGATTTGAATATGTAACCAATTCCCAAGTCATGCTGATGCTACAGATCCAAGGACCCACACGGAGAACCAGGAGCCTACACACAGAACTTCTAGGAAAAGACCAGGGGGGATCTACAGTTTCCCAGTCCATCACTTCTGGCTGTCCTGCTGTCAGAGTCCGGTGGTTGTTTTTTTTTTTTTTTTTTTTTTTTTTAATCAGAGGCAGCATGGCCGCCTTTAATGGGATCGTGGTTCGAATGTAAGATGTTCCCAAAGGCTCGTATATTTGAACATTTGGTCGCCCGCTGATGATGCTCTTTGGGGAGGTTGTGGAACCCTTGGACACAGGGCCTTCCCAGCTGGCAGACCCAAGCTACTAGCAGCAGGCCTTTGAGGAGGGAGAGCCAGGCCTTGCCTCGGGTTCCTCCCCACGTGATAAGCCCTCGCCCTACACTCTGCCGGGCCGGGCCATCCCCAGAACAGACGGACGCCATGAACTGAAATAAAGTCCTCCTCCCTCAAGCGGCTTGGGTCAAGGTCATCTGTCACAGTGAGAGGAAACGTAACTAACATAAATAGAAAGGCAGAGTTCGGACAGACCCGTGGCTTCGATTATTTCCCTTCTCTGCCGGCCTCACAAGAAACGGAGGAAAAGGATAAAGGGAAGGAAAGTGAAGATGTGGATGTAAACCTGAAGATGGTTTAGCCAGTTGGCAGCCGAGATTCCCCTTCTAATCTTTGCTGTATTCGCACTTTCTTAAACTTCCCATGGTGCTTTTCACCGGGCGCTGGAATCTGACAGCTTTGGAGGCAGGTCTTGCTTCCCTTTCTCTATGCTCACCCGTGAGCAGCTTTCTATTGCTGTACCAAGTACCTGAGATGAACCAACTTCGAAGTCTTATTTGGGCTCCAAAATATTGGGGAGCTACTGATGCAGAACTGACTGATGCCTATTGCATTGGGCCTGTGGCGACCTAAGATGTCATGGAGGGAGCACAGAGCAAAGGAGACTCTTTCGCATCAGGTCTGGATACTGAAAGAGGAAGAGGCCAGTGCTCAGCAACCCCTTTGGAGAGCACGCACCCCTCCCCAATGGCCTGACCTAAAACCTCCTTCATAAGGCTTCCACTCGTAATGTTTCCACTCCCTTTCAGGAGCACCACGCCAAGGATGAATGGGACATTTCACAGACCGGCCTTTGGTGGCCATCCTAGATCCAATAACTCCATTAATTCTCAGCCTTCAATTTTCCCATACAAACCTGGGACACACAAGAGAAGGTGCCAGTACTGCCGCATTGTGGATTAGCTTTCATCTGCATGTGACTGACTGGTGCAGTTAATGTTCACGTGCTTCACGAATACCTGTGACGCTTTGCTTTTTCATAATAATATCCAACACATTAAATACTACTCTACCTACCTAGTAAAATGAGTTCAGTCGTTCATGTGAGCAATAATAATCAAGTAGTTCGCCCCAAATATTGAAATTATAGTCCGTAAAGAACATGTTTAATATAATATGTTGATGTAGAAATACTGAACTTTGTACACATCTATATTTGAGGAGGAACCTCCAAACCTGGTTAAAAGAGAAACTGAGAGGATTTTTTTTACTAACAATATATTCTGTATGGATAAACTCTAAAATACGAGAGAGAGAGAGAGAGAGAGAGAGAGAGAGAGAGAGAGAGAGAGAGAGAGCGCATTGGCAAGCAAGTCTGCAGATAGCTTGGCCTGATATAATCCGGGATATGTTTGAGGCCATTCTAAAGACCACAAGCCCACTTTCCCCAGAAATGATTGTCATATCTATGTGACAGAACAACAAGGAAGAGATTTGGCAAGAGAATTCCGGTTCCATTTCACAAAGATGGCATCTCTAACCCACCACGCCCATCCGAAAATGGCCAGTTAGTGAAGACGATTCAGTCCTCCCGGTGAGCATGTCCAGTTCTCTCTTCTACCATCAGACTCTCCAGATGCCTCGTGTCTCACCTTCTAAAACAGTGATCCCGTGAGTGCCATACCTACTGACCTTTCCTGACTATCTCCAAATGTCCCTGCTCTTCGCTCCTCACCCCCCCCTCGCTCACCCCCCCCATCCCCATTCCCCCCCCCCCCTCATCGAGTTTCCTCCTTCACATAAAGGGTAACAGAACCACAAAACTGTAGGAGCCAGGTTCAGGGTTGATAAAAATTGTGTCTAGTCCCTAATTACAACCATCAAGAGCCAAAGCTATACATTCTGAGCACAAAGCCAAGCTCTCCTGGGACGAGTGGACACAGAGGCCTCCCAATCTTATACAACACATTTTGCTATATACCCTAGACCTTGCACTTAACTTGAAAGGAGCTTATTGGGGGGCGGTGCACTACAAGACTCTCTGGGGGGAAATTCCTGAGCTTCCACGCTTCCTCATCCTAGTGGACACTGATGTTCCTGACAGTGAAGACAAAGTTACCAGGAGCAGGAGCAGGAGCAGGTGTCTGAGAGCTGGGAAGGAAGGCCCAGGATTCCAAAATGCAGGATTACAAGGAATGAAGGTTACCCTGACCAATAATAAAAAGGGCCTATTAACCCAAAACCATGAAGCCAGATGCTAAGAATTGTGCTTTGGAAATCTGACCAGGGCAATATTTTCTTTAATCTTCCATTGCGGTTCTTGCAAATATCACGTGCCCCCAACACTTCTACTGAAATGAAACTTTTAACTTTAAAAAAATCTGAATACTATTTTATCAGTTTACTCCACTCCCAAACACCCTAAAGGCGTTTGTTGGTGTGGTTTTGAGGTTTTCTTGTTTTTCCTTCCAAACGGCCTACTGTCTAGACCTGTTGCTTCCGCGAGTTAAAGACCTTAGAGGTAAATGTAGAAGTCTCCAGTTTGGCAGGTCATTCTGCTTCCAGCATTTTGACCGAGTCTCCACCTGAATCGATTCTGGGCCTGCAGATGACCACTCTTTGCGGTTCTTCTGCTCATGTTTACCATCTCAGAGGCAATCTCTACACGACCTCTTCTGGCTACAGAAGTCAAAGGAATTTGCATCCTCGCTTGGCCAAGGCACAAGAGCCAGCCAGCATCATCCCTGGGACCTCAGTGAGTGCTGGCCAAGCCCTGGCACTCAGAAGCCCCGGATGAAAGAACAGCGAGGTCACACCTCACTGAAATCTCTGTTTTCTTGGGTTCCAACCTCTTCCTTAGCCACAAACCGAAAAAAAAAGTTCTGACTTGAGACACACACACAGGGTTCCACAGTTCACCGGAGGCGAGGCCGCTGATGGGCACCTACCGGACAGCCCCAGTTCCTCCCACACCCTCGCTGCAGTCCGCAGGGTGAGCAGGTGCTGCCAAGGGACAAGTCAGCCCAGGGACAGAGTGGAGCCTCACCTGGGCCAACCCACAAAAGGGGGACCCACTGGATAGAATTTCCAGAAGTGACTGGAAAGCGGGGCTAAACCAACCCACACAACCAGACCAGACTGGATTGGAAGTCATTAACCATAATCACTGAGTGAACTGTTCCCGCACCATCAGGCCAGAGAATACACGCACACTCACAAACATACACTGCGCCAATTAGAGTGGTGGTGGTGGTGGTGTTGGGGAGACAGGTACGTGGTGCCCCAGTCTCGGGGTACCTGCCTGGCGCCCTGGACAGCTGCGGACAGCCTTGCGCGCAGAAGGAAGCAGGCGCTCCCAGCTGCCGCTTGGAGGGATGCTCTCTGGCATCGCACCTAGGGAGCCTCGGGGACCGTGGTGGCTGTGACAGCTTTAGATGTTCTCCGCTCATCACTCTTTCCCCGGGTGCCCAACTTTGTCGGGCCGATGCCGCCCTTTCTTACCCAGATACTGCCGCAGGTCGAGCAGGAAGCGAGGGGGTCCCCCGCTGAGCTGGTAGAAGAGGGAGCCTAGGCAGAAGACCAGCAGGGTGGCCATGCAGAAACCGTAGTCCCGGAGGGAGAAGCGTAAGAAAGGCAGCAGCGGGATCCGGCGCTTGCAGCCGCCCAGGCACGGAGGGGCGCCCCCCACAGGGACCCCATGGGGCCAGGGATCCTCGCCGCCGCTGGGATGCTGCTGCTGCTGCTGCTGTTGCTGCTTCTTCTTCATCGCCGGCTCCGCCGCCTCGCACAGCCCGCCCGGGCCAGGAAGAGGTCACCCATCCGCCGCCAGCCGGAGCGCCTGGCCGACCGGCTGCACATGGAGAGGGACGCGCCGAGGGCAGCCGGGTGGGGGCGGGGAGGGGCCGAAGTTGCCGGGCTCAGGGCACTCTCCTCATCTTGGTCCCTGCCGCCCTCTGCGGCCCCGAAGGGCCCGAGATGTCCCGGGCCCCGGCGTGGGGGTGGCGATCGTAGCCCGCGCCCTGTCGCACGTCCCGCTAGCAGCAGCCCCGTGCCCCAGGTCCCTCTGTGCCCCGGGCTCGCTCACGGCTCGCCACGAGCGCCAGCGTGGACCCCCCGGGCTTTGTGTGGGTCTCGGGCGGCGTGTTTGGTCCCGACTCAGGCTCGGCTAGCTCAAGGCAGGGAGGATCGGGAGGCGGACACCACCCTCTCGCTCCACCTCCTTGACAGGGGCTTCCCTCCTCTCCTCTCCTCCCCTTTCTCCTGGGCGCAAAGCCGCCCCGCTCTCTGCCCTCCCCGGCTCTCTCCTCCTTCCCCACCCGGGGGCTCCTCGCTCGGCTTGGTGTCACGTTACGGCTTCTGCCGGGGCGGGCAGGGAGGGAGGAGGGGGCCGAGGATCAGCAACAAGGAAGAAAGTTTCTGGGTGTGTGTGATTTTTTTTTTTCTTCCTCCATTCTCTACAATCTGGTCTCGGTTCCTGCGCCACCAGCGACCTCTTGGGGCCCGCTGACTTCCCTCTCGTAAACAGTCGTGTGCTGGAGGATTTGACTACGTTTGTCTTCTCACTTTGGAAACTTGGTTCTCTTTCTATCTCCCGACCCACCCGTCTACCAAAGGCTGATAAAGGGTACTGGGATATAGGTTCAAGACCTAGCTGAGATGGTAAAAGGGCAAGCGGTAAGTGTTATAGTTAAACATGCCCGGCATGGCCAGGCGCAGCGCCTGCACGCCCTGGCTGAGAGCAGAGGGTGCTTTTTCTCTTGCCCTCCCTGGTCCCACAAGCGCTCCCCTGAGCACAAGGGTACACAGCCGACTTCAAGAAGTCCTTCCAGCAGATATGAAAGGGGGAAGCTCTGTCCTCTCACATACCTGTTTCACTCCGGTCTCTCCCCCCACCGCTGGGAAGCTTCTAGAGCGGAAAGAATCAGCGGAGCTTCTCCGACATCGATCTTCTGATGGAGCTTCTGATAGTTGGCAGAACTGCTCTATCAGGCACACGTGATCGTTTTTTGCTTTGTTTTAATCGCCAGATACAGAAGTGATATAGCCTGAGCGTTACATTACGTTTCCAGTGTCCTGGTTTGCTTTTCTGGTGCTGTGATAAATATCATGCCCCAAAATAACATGGAGAGAAAAGGATTTGTCTGGCTTACCAATTACAGTCCGTTATGGAGGGAAGCTGAGGCAGGGGGCACCTAGAGGCAGGGACTGAAGCAGAAACCTGCTGCTTACCTGCTCACCTTCAGCTACTTTTGTTAGGGACACCTGCGTAGGGATGGTTCAGCCTACAGTGGTCTGGCCCTCCTCCTCCATCAATAAGCAATCAAGACAATGCTCCCAGACGTCCCCACAGGCCAATCTGTTGGAGGTAATTCCTCAATAATAGTATCCTTTTCCAAGATGTATCCAGTTGCCAACAAAACTGACGTTCAGTGGCATAAGTTGGTATGAATAAGCCAGATATATTAACTACTGCAAGGTGGCACAGGCCAGATGGGGCTTTCTTCCTGGTTTGCCTGGGATTCGAAAATAGGTCATTTGGCTTAGACCACATGTCCCTGATGCCTCTCATCTCTGATCCTAAATATTCTCTCATTCGAAATATTCCAGTAATCGGGGGCTGGGGAGAGGAGAGGATCTAATAACTCCAGGACTGTCCTCCTGAAAACCTTTAAAAAAGTTGTGTATCCAGAGAATGTTCCGTGGAAAGTTGAGGAATGGGAGGGACCCTGAGAACAAGAGCTCACAGTAAAAGAACAGTATATATGCTGGCTAGTTTTAAATGTCAACACACCATAACCTAGAATCACTTAATAGAGCCTCAATTAAAGGAATTGCCTAGACTGGATTAGTCTATGGGCGTGTCCGTGGGGAATCGTCCATTATTATTTAATATGGGAGGGCCCAGGGCACTGTGAATGGCACCATTCCCTGGACAGATGGTTCTGAACTGTATCAAAGAGCTGGCTGAGCATGAACTTTCAAGCCAGCCTGCAAACAGCATTCTCCCGTGGTTCCTGCTGCGCTTCTTTGGCTGTGAAGCGAGGTCACTCATTGGTCAGGGGTAACACTGTATGGACTAGCAAACAGGCTTGTCTTTGAGTTCCTGCCCTGAGTTCCTTCAGTGAGGAAATGAGATTTGGAATTGTAAGCCAAATAAGTCCTTTCTCCCTAAAGTTGCTTGTGGTCACGTCATTTGTCACGGCAACAGGAATAAAAACTAGACAAAGTTGGCTTACCCATGACCTCAATATGAACTTCACACTCTGGAGCGTAGGTGAAGACGGCACAAACCACAGGCTGGAGTAGTGGGTCTCAGCCTGTGGGTAGAGACCCCTTTGGGTCAACTAACCCTTTCACGGTGGGGGATGGGGGGGAGGGGGTTGCCTAAGACCATCAGAAAACAAAGATATTTATATTATGATTTGCAACAGTAGCAAAATTACAGTTATAATGTAGCGATGAAAATAATTTGGTGGGGGGGGGGGCACCACAGCATGACGGACTTGTATTAAAGGGTTGCGGCATTAGGAAGGTTGAGAACCACTGGGCTAGAGAGTTGTGAGGTGGGCAGAACCACACTCAGCTTGTACTCTCAAAGAGTCTCTCCTGTACGTGAACAGATTGTCCCTATCTTACATTGTCCCAGCCACTTTCTAAGGTCTACTTAGGACACCAAGTAGAAAAGAGGCCCTTTGTTTGCCATAGGAACTCCCAACTAGAGTGTTAATGGTCTGCTTCACATTTACTCCCTGAATGGGAGGTTTATCGGGATTAATGTGCACACTTTAGCAATGTGACTGCCCTTTAGAGAATTCAGCCCATCAGTCATTGCTCATTAGTGTGAATTACTTTAATCAGTACAATGAGTAGCCCAGAATAGACTCCCAATTAATAATTTCTGAGTTGCTAAAGATGGGCCAGGAGATGGGAGTTGCCAAGCAATCTTCGTAATGTTTTAGAGACCTCCTTTGACAAAGTGACCCTGGAGCAGACAGAGCCTGGTCCTGTGAGCTGAACCCTGGCTGTGTGTAAGAATGTGTATAAGACCCTCTGTGTTTGTGATCTCATCCTTGGTTTCTGGAGCCTGCTTTCGGCCTTCTGTGGGGAAAGGTCCACTTGCTGTGAGGAATCTGATGAGCAGGAAGGAGGCACACACACATCTGAAAAGATAAGTAAATGTAGAAATTAAGAAAAAAACAAACAAACAGTAAGGGGGCAGCCAGTAGCTCAGTGGGAGAGCGCTTGTCTACCATGAACACAATGTCCTGAGGTCAGTTCCAATATGGAAGGGATAAAGCCCCGCACAGAAAACAATTGCGGAGACCTGGGGAGGTGGCTCACTCGGGAAAGTGCCCGCCTTGCAAGCATGAGGACCTGGGTTCAATCTCCAGAACCGGCAGAATTAAAGATGGACATGGGACCGCATATTTATAATCCCGTTGCTAGGGAGGTGGATCTCCGGGGCGCCTAGCTTACTTGGTGAGTTCCAGATCCGATAGACACCTTGTCTCAAAAAACAAAAACAAAACAAAGGGAAAAAAACCAAAAATTTAAAAAGAAAGAAGCACACACAAAGGTAAACAGCACTGAAGAACAGCACAAACGTTGACCTCTGGCCTCCACATGTATGTATACACACATAGTCACACACACACACACACAATCACACAGCCGCGCATACATATGAACCTACACACACAAGAGCCATGGCAAAGGTATGAGCAAACTATGACAAGAATAAAACAGCCCCGATTTTTTTTTTTAACCAACAGCCTAGCCATCCTTTAAAACCTTAAAGAAGCTGGGCGGCGGTGGTGGTGGTGGTGGTGGTGGTGGTGGTGGTGGTGGTGGTGGTGGTGTACGCCTTTAATCTCAGCACTTGGGAGGTAGAGGTAGGCGGGTCTCTGAGTTTGAGGCCAGCCTGGTCTAAAGAGAAAGTTCCAGGACAACCAGGGCTACACAGAGAAACAATAAAGGAAAGCCAGTACAAGTAACAAGAGATTCCTATACAGGGGGGAAAAGTGGTTTGTATTTTTACCCAAGTGAAACAGATGTCTGTGGATAAAGCTTTGTTCTTCAAAGTCCCATAAGTGTTTTTTTAAAAAATCAAATGTTTGCCGGGCGGTGGTGATGCACGTCTTTAATCCCAGCACTTGGGAGGCAGAGGCAGGCGAATCTCTGTGAGTTCGAGGCCAGCCTGGTCTCCAAAGTGAGTTCCAGGAAAGGCACAAAGCTACACAGAGAAAACCCTGTCTCGAAAACAAAAAAAATCAAATGTTTATCCTAATAAATGGTATCTTTCTCTTAATAAGCTAATGCATTTTTAGAAAGGATCTGCCCTTGTATATTTTCCAGAAAACAAACTAATTCAACAAGAATCTAGAAGACTTCTTGACTGTATTTTATTTAAATGAAGGCTACAGAGAATCTCCAAGATAGACATGATTTAGATATTGCCAGAAAGAAATCACATTCTCAAAGAACTGTCATTAAGTGATAACACGGTTTCACCCTAGAGACACAATCCCAGTTGTTACAATGTAACAGTCACAATCCCAACCGTTACAATGTAAGAGACAAACCTAGTTGTTACAATGTAGCACACATACAAGATCCTAGTTGTTACAATGTAGCGCACACATAAGATCCTAGCTGTTACATTGTAACTATCACAGCCCCAGTTGTTACAATGCGACAAACACAATCCCAGTTGTTACAGTGTAGCAGCCATAATCCCAGTTGTTATGATGTAACAGTCGTAATCCAGCTGTTACAATGTAACAGACACAATCCCAGTTGCTACAATGCAGTGCTGTCTTCCTGGCTCTAAGATAGATCCCAGAGCAGATCTTTTTTTCTCCTAGAGTGAATTTTCATTAAAATTCTTGGTTTCATTTGTCTTAAAGCCTGCTCAATCCATTTGTAAATTTACTTTTAAAAGTAAAAACTGTCTGACTGGAGAGATGGCTCAGTGGTTAAGAACACTGGCTGCTCTTCTAGAGGACCCTGGTCCCAGCACCCACAAGGCAGCTCAAAACTGTCTGCAAACCCCAGTTCCAGGGGATCAAACACTCTCACACAGACATTCATGTAGACAAAACATGAATGCACATAAAATAAAAATAAATAAATAAATAAATAAATAAATAAAAACTGTCATGACTCTAGATGAGGTGGAACCTGGGAGAATGGAGC